GTTAATTCTAGGGTTTAGAATTTAATGTTTAATGTTTAATATTTAAGATATATGAGTTAGTGATAATCCTACGATTTAAGGTTTAATGTTTAAATTTGAACTATAATATTTAGAGTTAAGAATCTTGAAATGTTTATTTTATTTTCTTACAATCAATATATTTTTTACACTTGTTTTAATAAAGAAGATATAATATGTGGTAATTTTTATTGGATAGTATCTAACGGTTGAGTCCAACAATAATTCAAATTGTTTTATATATTTTTTTCTTGATCAGATATCACTCAAACAAATAATGTAAGTTGGTAAAAATATACATACTCTTTTATATATATCATAATTTGAATTTTTTTCTTAAAAAAAAATTAAACATTATCAAACAAACGAGGTTGTACTATACTATTTGTGAATCATATTAAAAATAGAATAGTATACTTGCTTCAGCATATACTCTAAAAATATGTTTTTAATACTTATACGCTGAATAGTAACTTGTGAGTATTTCGATTTTATAGTTCCATATTCACATTAGTGAAGGTGCACAAATTTGTATGTATTGGCAGTATATAACATTCATACAAAGAAAAAAAAACATTCATACAAAATAAATATTGCATTTATAGTAGTAGACTATTCTATTTATGGAAACAATGTAGTCTACTCCTCTTCATGTAAGACTGAATCAGATTTTCTATATTGTTTACTTAAAAGATATAGTACATAGTCTTAGTATGTTACGTGTGCATAATGTACGCACACACGTTTACAGGGAGAAATAAAGGTAAATTTGTGTTCAAATTGTCACTTAACCATTAGTTCTTCAGAAGGATAACCAAAATAAGTAAAAACAATTTCCACAAATAAAATATATTAAATACATAAAGAAAATCGAATAGCTTTTTGTTTTTATCTTTGTCTCTTATGAAGAAATTCCAGCAGATCTTTCTATGTACTAACTAGTGTTCGAAAACGCAGCCACCTAACCATCTAAACAGCCAGTTAATCACAAACCGGATTTGAACCACCGAAATTATGCTCAAATCGGATTAGTTAATTGTTGACCTAATATTGACCAACTAATACATGATTAATCGCTCAAATCGGTGGATTCACCAATTTATTTAAAATTTTTGAATATTTTAACCAACAAAAAGCCTATTAAATAAACATGTCTTTCAGTTTATTTTTCACTTCGCAATCCAACTACTCCCTCTTAATCAATGTGGGACATTCTATTGTTCCTTCCTTCTTTTTATTTTTTTGCTAGAATTTTTCTTTATTTGATTTATTATTTATTACTTCTTTTTTTTTTTGTCACTGAAATTTTATTAAAGGAAAATCGTAATGGGCCTAAAACGTGGCCCACTCCGAAAGTTTAATACAACAAGAAGCGATGAAGGGCCCTTTTGGCTAAACCGTCTGCGACGACGTTTTCCAAACGAGGTAAATGCGAGAAAGAGATAGACGAAAAACCAGAGGTGATCACTCGGAGATCGACGACGATTCCGATGATTTATTTGGACTGGATTTTACCGGTGATAGCTCTGATGAGCATTGTGTTGTCGGACAGGAACCTGAGGGACATGAATTTGAGGTTCTTTGCCGTGGATAAGGCCGATCTCATTGCTAAGGCTTCTGTGATAAGAGGCGAGTCTACAAAAGACTCGGTGGCCGATCCATGAATCGAAGAAGGTATACCATTTCCTGAGAAGATCCACCCTAGGCCCGCCGTCTTTGTGTCGGAAATCCAGGCCGCATCAACCTTGCATGTAATGAGCTGTGGGTCCTCTGACCTTCTCCCTAGAGGACCACTATTTTCGCGGTTTGAAACCAAAAAAGGGGTACCTTTTCCTGCTTTTCCTTGAGCTAGAGACCATTCCTGCGCTAACCTTAATCCTCTTGTCGCAGTGTCCTGTGGTGAAGCCGCCTTGTCCTCGAAGAGGAGATTGTTTCTTGCTAGCCAAGTTACCCAACAAATCCAGGGGAGGACACTGGAGGTTACTCCTACCGGTGGTAAACAAACTGCTGTTCTGAATTTTACCACTGCTTCCTTGAAAGAACAGCCTGCAGCTATGTGAACTGCTTGTCGTAGAGGTATGCATTCCCACACCTTAATCGCAAATGGACATTTGAAGAAAATGTGACCACTATCTTCGATTTCATGACATCTAATACACTTGGTTGCTGATACCAAACCTCATTTCTGTAGGTTAACTCCTAGGGGAAGAGCATTCTGTGCCACTGATCACATGAAAGTTCTCATTTTAGGTGAGAAGTTTCCCCCCCAGATATCTTTTATCCAATGAAATTGATCAGGGTGATGAGACACTAGGGGTTTCTTGGCAGGTAAAAAGGCCACCGCGTACCCTGATTTAGTAGTATAGATACCCGAGGCAGTGGGGTGCCAAATGAAGGAGTCTCCTGCTCCTGTAACACTGGGCTTCAGGCATCGAATTTGAGAGACAAATTCTGGTAGTACTTCCTGAATCCGGGCTGTGTTCCATTGTAGGTCATCTGTTAAAAGGTCAGCCACTATAAGATCCAAGTCCGCTTCTCTAATAGGTCCTGCTGGTTTCTGAAATTTGTCTAGGGACATCCACGAATCCTTCCACAATCTGATAGTCTGTCCATTTCCAACCGCCTTTCCTAGTTTATCCGTTAGTAGATCCCTTCCATAGAGAATTCCCCTCCAGCCATGTGAACACGTTTGGGACATAGTAACATCAAGGATTTCCATGACAATACTTACCCAATAGAACTCTTGCCAGAAGGCATCCCGGGTCTGTGGTGACTCTCCAAGCTAATTTTGCCAAAAGAGCTTCATTAAAAACTTTGATGTCACGTAACCCTAGGCATCCTTCTGATTGAGGTTGAGTTAACTTTTCCCCGGACACCCAACAAATCTTTTTCTTTTCATCATTTCCATCCCACCAAAACCTCGTCAAAGCTGATTGAATTCTCTTACACAGGCTCATTATTTATTTATTACTTCAAATCATCAATTCATCACGTAAATCCTAGACCATGTTATTGGGATATATATATATTTTTTTTTTAATTTTGTGAGCTTTTGTTGTCTTATTCGAAGTTTTGGTTCTTTAATTTGTAAAATAAATATTAATTAGTAACACTATTTTGTTTCGTTATCAAACTTGTAAAATGTGAAATATAGTTGATTAGTTTTAGTTATATATATATATATTATGTATTATTTTCATGTGATAACATATATTTGACATTATATATTTAACTTTAATAGTTAAAATTAATAAATAATAAATAAAACTAATTTCCGATTAATCTCTGATTTATTATTTAGGCGCTAGTCCCTAGTCGAGCGCCCGACTAGCGTCTACCGAGTTTTTAAACATGGGTACTTACCCAAAACACTAATTATCCTTAATTAAACAAGATTCTATCATGTTAAGTAATGTTTTCCTCATTGTCATTAGATACAAGATGTGTCAGTGAATGTTAAAAAGGTTCAGGCATTCCTTTTGCAAAAATGAATAACTAACATACCTATAAAACAATTAAACTGTGGTATGATTAGTTATTGTTATTGTCCAACCTATTGCGGTATGATTTCTATTTTTTAACTAATAAATGGGAAAATGGTAGGGGTGATTGAAAAAGACTGTCATGTGAACGTCTCTTTCTTTTTAGCTGTCCTCTTGGCTTGGGTCGGGGCTTATCCCTATTCCTACCATTATATTCGCTTCCCATTTCCATTCTCAATTTTCAACATTGCATTTAAAATTTCACTAGATTTTGACCCGCGCAACCGCGCGGGTGTTTGTTTCGTCTATAGTTAGTTATATAAATATTTTGTTTTAATTTGTAAATTGGTATATATTATAGTAATCACATATTTACGATATATATAGTAAATGTTTTTCAGACATAATAATATTATATAATACGTGCTTTAATCAATTAGATTGTTTCAAATTTTCTATATTATACATGTTTTTCACACATGTGTTTGTTTCTTCTTGTATATTTTATTGTTTGTTAGATTAGTATTTCATTTTATATAAAGTAATATTAATAGAGCTTGATTAAATATTAGTGTACTTTAATTTGTAAAGATAATATAAACTTCGAAGAAATTTTTGCTAAAACTAAACTTATAGCTTCATAAATTAATATAATAAAGAATTTTAAAATAATTTCTTTTTTTAAAACAATATAATTTTAAAAATTTACATCGAGATAAATTTATCTAGTATATATAGTGTGTAAATTTTGTTAGGGTATATAAATATTCCATATTACGAATCTGTGATTTTTGTTAATATATTGTGGATGCATTTAACTATTATTGACATATTTCTTTTTAAATAATAGAAGATTCCTAAACTTATATCTATTGACATATTTTGCGTGACTAAGTTGGAAAGTGTGGGGGTAATTTACCAAAAACAATTTGCTAAGCGTATCTTTGTTATTATAGATATGATTTTTCATAAGATATAATAATGATAAGATTATTAGAGAATTAATGTAAAGTGACTTTCTAGTAATAGTCCATTTTAAAAAAAAAAATCACACATGAAGTCGAGTCATGACTTCTGTTTTAATATATAAGATTTTTTTTCCTTCAAAAACCAGATTATATTTATGTATTCTTCTATACAATAAATAAATGTTATCTAGGGAATAAACAATCAATAATCTATATAAAAATTCCTTTTTTTTCTATAGAAAATTCCAAGACCACGACCTCTTGTTCCCTTATAGATATGCGATGCTTACCAATGACATACAGCTTGCAATTTTAGCCTTTTCCTTGGTCGAAACTTATTAGTTCTAGAAAGGCAAATAATATTTTTATTGACATTTCGCAACAATGTATCTTGTAATCATATATATAAGTTGATATCATCGACTAACAACGTGAGATATGTTGATACTATTGTGTTATAGTCATCGCGACAATATTTTTATGTCTGATGAGTAATGCTAAGAGCCTAAGATGTAAGAACGCAATGGTGTGTGGCAATTTGGATTAGACAATATGAGTTTACATCACATACACCAACTAGAGTCAACGATAGATTGATAAAGCAAACAAATGTCTGAATCGTACATATCAACACAAACTCAAATATGATAAAACGATGAAAAACAATTGGCTCGAAAAAATGAAAGTAAAATTACACGAAAACGATGTTGACCAATAATTCAGTAATAATCTTAAACGAGAAGCAAATGGGCTGCAACAACGAACAAAAGTGCTATGACGTTGATTCTTACATTGAAAGCTCCAGAGTCCGGCGAGGCCATAGCAGGTGGCATGGGCCCCGGTCCCGGAGAAGGAGAAGACTCCATTGCTGGCATCGGAGGCGAAGCCATATCAGGGACTGATGCTGGGCTAGGGCCTGGGCTAGGTGGTGTAGCCATGGACATTGGTGGTGGAGTCATTGGCATAGGTGGTGGAGTCATTGACATAGGTGGTGGAGTCATAGGCATAGGTGGTGGTGCCATTGGCATAGGTGGTGGTGCCATAGGCATAGGTGGTGGAGTCATCATAGGCATAGGTGGTGGAGTCATCATTGGCATCGGAGAGCCGCCACTAGGCATTGGTGGCATGGACATTGAGCCAGAAGGAGCCATCATGGGAGCTTGAGCTAAAGAGAAGGGGATTAAAACCATAGACAATGTGAGCAAGAGGAGGGCTCGTAAAGAAGCCATCATGGGAGATTGAGCTAAAGAGAAAAGGGTTGTGTGTTGAATAGTGGTTTATGTAAATCCCGTAAAGTGATATATAGAGTGAGAGATGTGAGAATTGTCAAAGAGTGAGCGAGAAAAGTAGAGGTTCTATGTGCCCTAGTTGGGGGATATACATTAGAGATTATTTGTTTTAAAGTTTTGGATCTTTGGATATATTGTGTGACACGTACCAGTCGACGGATATGCATGAGATGCTGATTTATTTTCCTCCACATATATGAAAAATAAAGAGGAAAATTCCAAAGTGAAATCTCTTTGTATGTACAGATAGAATAATCAATAGACATGAAAATGGGGGTTTATATATTGATTTATAATATATTTTATTTTTATTCTTTGTATAAATTATCTTATTTATAGTGGAACCATCAATCCGATTCACGGGTTTGTTTTAGACCATGATTAATCCGGGGTTCTTATAATGGGGTTCTTATCAGAAGTTAAGAAAATGTTTCTTGACTTTTAACTAAAAAAACTAAGAACCGGTTCTTAAAGTCCTTATTAAAGAACCAGTTCTTAGCGTTTTTAGTTAAAAGTTAAGAAACAGTTTCTTAATTTCCGCTAAGAATCTCACCCTAAGAACTTCGGATTAATCATGCTCTTAAGGGACCGTCAACACCATTAGAGCGGACACTAATGATGATTGTTAAAAATTTACTAGATTTTGACTGCGCTTTGAAAGTGCGGGATTTTTTTTGTTATAATCTAAAACAAAAATACCAAAGATAATATGCATTTTTTTATTATAAAAACATTTTCACTACTATTATGTAATTCTGATATAGATTGTCAATTTCAAAATAAAAATAAGTTCTACTATATAGCTAATTGAGTATTTTTTGAAATGGACTATTGAGGTGAATAGTGATCCACGTTTTAATAGTGGATTTATTTTGTATATACATCTCAATTTAAAAATAAAAAGATTTTCACCTGTATTTTTAATTCTGAATTAATTTATGGTTGACAATTTATAATAAAAATGTATTTATTTACTAATTTTAATTTTCTTTAAAAAATTCATATTCATAATTTGTGATCTTTAATTAAAATTTAATATGTGATATATTCATTTTTTCTTCCAATTTAAAGTTATATGATAAATCATTTATTAGAAGCTTTATTTTCTGTTTATTGGAATAATAAAATATTTTGGATTTTTATTTAAGAATTAAGAATTAAAAGTGAAATTTATTTTGGAATGTGAAAAATAGAATTTAATAATATATATAGTATAATCTATAATTTTAAAGCTATTCCCATATTAGAAAAATTAATTGGTGTTGTACTGTTCTTTTGTTTGAATTTATTTAATTGAGTTTGTACAGTTAAATATTATAATTATGTTTTTTTAATAATCACATATAAAATCCAATCTATATTAATTATGATAAAAATATATTTAAAAAAAAGCAAATCGAAGTAGAAAAAACATCATTCGTACTATATCACATCTACAAATTGAAAAAGATACTCTTTAATTCAAATCATATGTAAAACTATATTAGGTAATTTAAAACTTATAAGATATTAACATTTGGTTATTTAATGAGTATTGTTTGTTCAAATCTTCTAAAGATCTCTTCAAGATATTGTAGATAATTAAAATGTTTAATATTTAATATAGTTCATTGGCATTCACTTGTAATTATTGAGGAAGATTAATGGTTAATTTAAAATTTACTTTAGTTTTAATAGTATAAACTTGATGATTTTGATCCGCACTTTTATAGCACATGATTTTTTTTGTTATAATCTAATACAAAATACCAAAGATGATATGCATTTTTTTACTATAAAAACATTTTTATTACTATTATGCAATTTTGATATAGATTGTCAATTTCAAAATCAAAATGAGTTTCTCCTACTATATAGCCAACTGAGTATTTTGTTTTAAATGGATTATCGTGGCGTATAGTGATCCGCGTTTTAACACTGAATTTATTATGTATGTACATCTCAATTTAAAAATAAAAATATTTTGACCTGTGTTTTTAATTCTGAATTTATGGCTGACAATTAATAATAAAATTGTATTTATTTACTAATTTTCCTTTTTTAAGAAAAAATTTCATATTCATAATATGTGATCTTTAATAAAAATTTGGTACATTATATTTATTTTTCCTTCCAATTTAAAGTAATATGATAAATCATTTATTAGAAGTTTTATTTTCTGTTTTATTGTAATTATAAAAATACTTTCCATTTTTATTTGAGAATTAAGAATTAAAAGTGACACTTATTTTAGAATGTGCAAAATATAATTTCATAATATTATATATAGTATAATATATAATTTCAAATCTATTCCCATACTAGAAAAATTAATTGGGCTATTAGCAAAATTGACTCAAAACTTAAAGTCAACTACAAAACTAACCTATGATTTTTTTGGATTTTTTTTCCCTATTCACCCCATAAGTTCATTTACGAAAATGGCATTAGTTTTTTTTTCAAAAATGTTTTTTTTACTCTCTCAAACTAATCATCTTCAAGTATGTACAAGATTACCATTGCCATCAATACACCAACCACCATGAACAACCAATTTGAAGCTCTTAATGCACCTCAAATCGATTTACACTTCTTCTTTCTAAATTTTTATGAACTAAAAATAACGTCTCTTTCACTTTCTCTCCATATTCATCTAAAAAAACCCAAGGTTTTGATTCTAAATTGTTTTTTATGGTTCATGGAGCCATTGAAGCTTACGATTATTGGTGGGTCACTTTTGTTTGAGATTATGGGTGCCTGAAGAAGACTTCTGTGTGCTAAACAAGTTATCTCACTGGTTAAAACTATAAAATCGTTTTTTTTTTCAGATCTGTTCGTCCGGACGACTTCCAGGTAAGTCGTCTGGCTGAAGAAGACTTACCTGGAAGTCATCTGGTCAATGCAGAGGTTAGTTTTGCAATTGACTTTTTTTTTTTTTTCCTGGACGACTTACATGCAAGTCGTCTAGGGAAAATATGTTAGTTTTGCATTTGACCGGAATGTGTCAGAAATTTGACTTTTCCTGGACGACTTACGTGTAAGTCGTCCAGTAGAAAATTTAAAAATTAATATTTTTTTTCTAGACTACTTACTCAGGTTACTTTTGAAATTGAAATATTAAACAATTTTTTTACTAGACGACTTACGTGTCCATCCAGAGACTTACATATAAGTCGTCCATGATTTTATTCCGAGATTATGGTCAAACGTTGCTTATCTTGGACGACTTACATGTAAGTCGTCCAAGAAAAAAAAATTGTTTATTATTCCAATTGCAAAACTAACCTGAGACAACGTACATGTAAGTCGTCTAGAAATAAGAAAATATTAATTTTTTTTTAAATTTTCTACTGGCCGACTTACACGTAAGTCGTCCAGGAAAAGTCAAATTTCTGACACATTCCGGTCAAATGCAAAACTAACCCGTTTTTCCTAGACGACTTACATGTATGTCGTCTTGAGTTTTTTTTATTATCAAACAACGGTGAACGACTTACATGTAAGTCGTCTTGGTTAAAAATCAGTTACAAAACTAACCTAAATGGATGACTTCTATAAAGTCGCCCAGACGACCTCCGTGGAAGTCATCTGCATCAATGTTTAAAAAAATTTCATTTTCACTAAGACTATAAAGATTTTTTAACATTTTCTTGTTAATTCATGTATATTAGTCAGTATTAGAATTACTAAATAAAATTTATAACTTAATTGGTGATATTTATGAGGTTACCAACCTTCATATTAATATTTCTAGCTAATAAGAGAAGACTTCATACGAAGTCTTCTAGAAAACTTCTCGGGAAGTCGTCTAGAAGACTTCTCGGGAAATCTCTACATTAATTGTTGTAAAATTTGTATTTTTCAAGAGTGATAAGTATCAAGATATGTTTTTTTAACTTTCAAAATACTAACTTCAAGAATATCAAGTTATGTGGTTTAGTGTCTTCTATGTTAGTTTTTGAATTTGTGAAATGTTTGATCTTTTGTAAATTTTACTAAGTTTTCCTTTCTAGGTAGAGTGATAAAAATATTTATTGGTACGAATCAAAATATTGTCTTCAGACAGTTAACTAATGTTATCATGCAAAAGAAATGAATATGGTAAACAAAACTAAAAAGATCTCTTCTTATATACCAAAAGAGACTTGTTACAATCAAGCATACGCATTTGACCATAAACAAAGTTAATTATCATTTGATTTCACTTCTTAAACCTCTCAACATCAAGTTGTATCAACATCCCACATACAGAGTTTAATAATTAGCTAGACAAAAGATCTTATGCTTTGTTTGTGTCTTTGTTTCAATACAAATTTTGGTCTATTCATTATCTTCACACTACAATATTCACACAATCCATCACACGTTCTTGCTCCTTATACCTACAAAAAAAGACCCTTCTCAAATTAATAAAAAAATATAATGAAAGTGCTTAGGGTAATGAAAAATTGCATCTTCTCTGATCTTAATAGACTGTTGTCAACAAAGATGCAATGACACCTATCTCCAATAAATTTTAGGCGGGAATATTAGGATAAGTCGTCTGGTTTAAATTATTCACCAGACGACTTACATGTAAGTCGTCGTCCGGATGACTTCCTGAAAGTCGTCTAGAAGACTTCCTGAAAGTCTTCTAGTGTATTATATTTTAGACGACTAACACTTAAGTTATCCCAGAAGTCTTCCAGATCTGAAAAAACTGTATATCCAAATCCAAATATGAAATAACCTACATATCTAAAAACGTTCAAATGGCTTAAAACAGAGAAAATGAGTGAAATATTAGATAAATCTACCTTTATAGAACACACAAAAATACATATCTAAAATTAATAGATTTATCTTTAAATGAGTGGAAGATGAGAACAATGTGATGAAAAACCTAAACAAAAAGATAAATTAGTGAGAAAGACATGAGAAAAACAAAAAAATTGATATAAAGTTTGGTGTTTATAAGTTCAAAGAGATTAGAGAGAGGTTGGAGAGTTTTAGAATGATGAACATTATATTTTTGCTGCAGCCATTTGAGAGGAGGAGAGAGAATGTGTAATTTTTTCTTTATATAAAGAGACAAAAAGTTCAATTTGGTTAAATATT